TTCATGTAGATTGAAGGACCTTTCTGAGGGCTGACTGGACACAAACAAATGTGCAGAAACACCCTCTGAGGGGGAGTAATCAGCACTGTGGACGCATGGGATAAGGAGTGTTGTGAAGAGCAGTATATCCAGTGTACTGCTTAGAACTGTAAATATGAAATTAGTTCTTTCCATTATATAAATAGTCATAAACAATGTTATGCCTCTCTGAGTGCAGTGAAGGAGGTGCTGGATTCCTGTTAATAAATACGGGGCGGGGGGGGGGGTATGTTGCTTTTTAAACTAAAAGTATTTTTGAAGGTTTATTGGTAGTGCAGCCTCACAGTTTGAATCTAATCTTGCCATGACTTCTGGAAACTACAAAAAAAAGAAAAAACCTACAAAGGAGAATTGTGTGTTATAACTTTGCAGGATTATACTATTTTCTTTTGCAAATGCAGATATGTTAAAATGAAACTGAATTTATTAGCTCTAGAGGCTGAAATTGTATTAAAATGTGAATGCTTCTGCTTGCACAGGCTGATATAGCACCGCTGATGGCTTCCCTTATCGGTGTGCCTTTTCCCCTGAATTCTGTGGTAAGAAGTACAAATGTTTTTACACACTATAAAAATCTGTTTACCATAGAGGAAGAGGTGTTGGGGACAAGTCTTGAGGCATATGAATAGCAAGACTGTAGATTTGTAAAAGTGCTACAGGGTATGAAGACTGCTTGTAGTCTTAGGTTTATATGTGTATCTTCAGTTTAGAGTACAGACTCAATCTTTTTATATAATGCATAGGGCTTTCAATTGAAAAGGAAGCTGATCCTTTTGTAATCTGCAACTTCATACGCTTGAGTTGCATAAAGGTTGTTTATTATTTTGTTTTTAGGGTGGTAAAAATGCAGTATGGCTTGAATAACACATGATTTTGATCATGAAAGCTGAGCCTGTAAACAGCCTTGTTCCTGCAATTTAATGTTTAATTATTTCTTGATTAAAATTGAGTATTTTCTTCAGATGGTATCTTGTGCCTCTAATTTAGTGAACAGGGAGATGGCTTGGCTTTTTCTTTTAATTTCTTTCATGTATTATTACACAGTCCAAAAGTTGCCTCATAAATACCTAATTGACAATTAGCATTTCATTAGTGTGCTTTCACGCTGCTAGTTTCACTTCTAACATTTTTTAAAATATTTCTTCTGGAGACTCTGCCCCAGTTTCTGTTGCCCTGTGCTGCACTCCTTGCTGGCCGTGCCCAGCACAGAGTGGCTTGGGAACTGCTCACCTTCCTATCACAAGTACTGGGTTGAGTCAGGCACAGACTGACTTCCTTCCAGGCTTTGGACGGAGGACTTTTGAGATATTTCATAAATGGCCTCTGATTAGAGGTCAAGGTTATGTTATTTTATAGTATATAGTTTAATAACTTCTGTTATTTATGGTTTTTGCATTCATGTAGAAGCTATTATAAACAGTCCCTGTGATGTTGCAAAACTATGTGAGAAGAGTATTTTCAGTGGAGTTACATTAGTTATTTCAGCAGTAATTTGTTGTATTCTTACTGCTCATTTGGCCAGCAATTCAGTCAGAGAAATTCCTGGTTTTTCATTTAAATTTTTTTATGTATACGTGTATTTTTCTTCCTCAGGGGACTCTGCCTCTGGAATATCTGAACAATAGTGCTCATTTCAAAGCAGAGAGCATGTTTACCAACGCTGTTCAAATTCTTGAGCAATTTAAGGTACTAAACATATTAAAAAAATACTTATTTGAATAATAGTTGTTGCTACATGTACAATACTTGTAGGACATACCCTATATATATATGCTGAATTCAAAGGAATAAAATTGAATCCACATACTGGGTGATGTTGGTTGACTAGCTGTGAGCCATATCTGAAGGAGCTGGAAAGACTTTAATAAACAACCTTTATTTTGAAAAGAGAATGAATAACCTTTTTCTTTGATCTTAATAAAAATGCTGATGTTTATTGATGTTAATGTAAACCTGCTTGCAATATGGAGGTAGAATCTAGGTTCTGGTACCTGAGAAGGTACCTTTGCAACAAGGGCTAGGAGATGAGGCTCTAAGTCAGAATCGGTACACAAACAGATCAAAAAGGTAATAGGCTCCTGTCCATTAAAGAAATTAAATTAGTGGTCTAATTAACTTTTAGCTAATGCTGCTGTATCTGTTGTTTTGCTTTGTTAAGTGTTCTTTTCTGGCTTCTCTGTCTTGATCCATTTAATATTGGATATTATGTTTATGAGAACATTTGAGTGGTCCAAACAAAAAAGTTTGTTTCACTAGACAGTGGAATAAGAAACTGTCCAAAATCACAGTTTTAGCAAGGTGTAGAAATTCCCTGAGGGAAAACCATCCTCTCCATAGGTAGGAAACTGAAACATACAAGAACTATTGCTCTGTCAAGAAAACAACATGCTGATAGTGGAACAAAAAACTAGCATGAGATGACCTGCGAGAGTTTAGCACCTTCAGCACCTCTGTCCTTTGAATGCTGGGTTCACAAAAGTATGGATCCTTGGGGGACAGTGTCAGCAGCAAAGTCACTTTCAAACATATGATTGGAAGCTGCTACGTAGCAGGGGAAGTGCTGGACTGGACATGAAGGTGAAGCATCCTAATATCACCTCCACAGTTGGAAGACCTCTGCTTTAAGAATTAAGGATGTGACTCATGTCTTTTTCAGTTAAATTGTTGTCTTGGACATTATTTAAAGAAAGAAGTAGTTCTATTTCTCCTTTCCTTTATGTTTATTCTGTCATTTTTTAGTGCTAGATTATATTTTTTTTGCCTTAGCTTGTTTCTAGCAATGTTTTGCAATGATCCTGTATGGATTTCCTTTGTGTTTCTCTGCTGAAGCAGAAGTAGCACACTGGCTTAGGCATGCCAAGTGGGTTTTTGCTTTTCCTGTGGTGGACTGACCTGACCAGAATTTGTACTCCCTAGAGAAGATGGTGCCTTAGGTGGATAGAGTGGGATGTGTGGGTTGCTACTTCAAGCTGCCAGGTTTTGGGAGCAGTGTGCTTAGGAAACTCCTGACTGCGCATTATTACAACTGTCAAACTTGAGTCAGGCTGCTGCAGAAGGCTTTAAAGATGTTTTGGAGGTCTTTGGGCAAAGTGGCTCCGATGGCATCAAAACCAGTTTTTATCCATGTGCAGATTAACTCATTTAACAGCATTGCTTTTGGCAGTGTTTGCTGCAGTGTACTAGTTCCTGTCTGGGATAAATAATACTGGTTTCATCGAGAGAGTTTGTCACTGAGGCCTGGTACCACTTCTAGCCATATATTCTCTTTATCCTTCAAACTGTAGAAGTCCTTCTGAGAAAATCAGTGGCTGGTGTGTTGCTTGTTTACTTTAGAACAGGTCTGAGTTTCCAGGAACTCAGAGGAGCTGTGCATACTGGAGGGTAACACCTAGTTTCCTGGACAATATACTGACAGTGTGATTTCATTCCTTTTCCAAAGTCTTAAAAAAATCTGTAATTTTTTTTATTTTACCTTCTGACACAATTTTTAGTCTTGTTGCGACTTGCATATAATGGTTTAATGCTCTTTTATGCAGGTTAAGATGAGCCAGAAAAAGGAAAATACACTGTCGTTTCTGTTTACACCATTCAAGTAAGTGTCTTTTAAAAGCTATATGTATTTTATCTGATTATTTTTCTTATCACTCATTTCGGTATTTCAGTGAGATGCAAGAACAAATTCAGACTCTTTAGTCTTTTTTTTAAATGATACTATCTCTATAGGGTTAGGATATGCAATCTGTTCTTGGTTTTATGTATATCTAAAAGTTTATCTAAGAATTGTTTCTTCTGTGATTTACATTCTAATGAAAAATTAATAAAATGCATTCCATCCAGAAAAGAACATCAAAATCTTCAGAATTTGTATGGCCTAGTGTCAGTGTTTCCAGGGCTGTGAGGGAGTCTTCATAGTGATTCGTGTATCTGCAAACTCTGTGTTCTAGTGTATGGAACAGTTACCGACCCCCTCACCCTTCTGTCTTATTCAATTAAAGCTGCTTTTTTCCTTTCTCCTCTAAAGGTTTTTAAAAGCTTTGCTGTTGGGTGCATGTGGTAGTGTTCGCTTCTGCTGTTAGTTTGTGGAATGCTCAAAAAATGCTTCGTCACCGAGAGCAGCTGTTTTCCTTTGAGAAATAAAACTGATGTTAATTAACATCTTTAAGTCATAGCAGCAGTAAAAAGTACTGGAGCCGCTTCCTGTGAAGTATGTTTATTGCTAAAGATGATTGCTGTCTGTTTGAACAGACATTTACTGTGTTATTTTATACCACTAGCTTCTTCAGAGAGAAAGTTCAGGACAGTCTCTGAGATACAAGTCAAGTCAATCGAGCACATAATGAATCTTTTAGATCAAATTCTGATTAAGGATGACAGTTGCATTATCAAAGAATTTACTGATCTGTATGAAATAAAATGCCATATGGAAAGGATGGTCAGTCATCTTTGATTCTGTGGGGATTACTATTAGTTTGATTTCACAGCTCTTTAAATTTTACCTTTCCTCGAGAAATAAGACTGATTCTATAAAATGGGATGTGCTTTTCTTAATGCTATATTTATCTCTAAAGGAACTAAGTGTTACTGATTGTCTTATGGACTGGTGACTTTCCTTTTTTATGATACGTTGCATTGTTTTAAGTGGAAATGCCAGACACATTTATCACTTTGAAAATGCGACTAAAACTTGGTATGAACTAGTTATTTGGTATGGTCTATTGCAAAAATAAATTTATTTTCTTTAGATATTCTTAAAACTTTTCTGAATCAATATTTGGATTAATGGTCCTTCCAAGAAAGGTTTTTCTATGAGACCAAAATAATTCCTTCAATGTGTGAATGTCACAGATGGATTGGTGCACCTCACTCATAAGAGAGAAGTAGCAACATGTTTACTGATATAAAACACGATTTAGCAAAATTTGATAGTAAATGCAACAGCAGTTAACAAGACTCAGTGGCAAGGTACACTTGATTTTTTAGTGCACAGAGGACAGGGTCAGACAAAACTGTAAGAGAGACCCTCCCATTGAGTCGAAAGGTTCAGAAGGGACCCCCTGGCATCCTAAACTCCTTCTCAGAGGCAGTTACGCTGTGGCTAAGTCCAGACTTAGTCCCAGTCTTGGTCAGTGATTTATATCTGTAGAATTATATGTGCACAAACAGTCCTTTATATTATTTAGCTAAGATTTCCAAGTTAGCATGCTAGTAATCACTTCCCAAGAATCTGTTGTGGCAAGGAATCTCAGCCTCAAGGAGTAACCCAGAGGCATCCCTACTCAAGGGGAGTAGTGCAGGAGAACTCAGCAGGTCCTGGACTGTCCACTAGTTATGGAGTAATTTGGTTGACTTATAGTCATACTTGCATACCAGCTGTGTTTGGGTTGGTGCAGCCCTCAGCTGTTGAGCAAGATTTATGGCCCTTAGCAGCTGCTGTGTTGTTACCTGTTTCCCCAAAGTCCAGCTTGAGCCGGATGCAGCCTTCACGACTGCCGCTGGTGGCTGTCACTTAAGCAGAAGGCAGGGAGCCCACTACACTACCGCAGTGAATTAGTTAACGGCAGGTGCCTACGCTTGCAAGGTGTATAGGTAAAGACTTTCTTTGATACTCCAGTATGATACTGTTTATCTTCACTCTAGAAAAGCAGAAAAAGGCTTATACCACAGGTGGTCACACGTTAGTGTAAACACTCCTCCACAGTGTGCTGGGATGGGGGGAGTTTGGCCAGATTCTGATTAATCTTCACAGCTGTCCTTGACTTTCAAACCTTGGTCCGAGTCTGGGAAGCTGCCAAGGGTTCTTGCCCAACCTGTTACTAGTATTTGGGATGAAGTGATTAAGCACCAACTTATTTTTAAGCAGCCAATTAACTTTCTAAAGCTCCAACTTGCAGAAACTGACGGAAAACCGGAGGTAATTTTAGACATGACCTGTCTACGAATCTGTCCCCTCTTTCATGTGTAGGTGACTGACTGTGTGTGTCCAGTGAACCTGACTGTGTGTGTCCAGTGAACCTGACTGTGTGTGTCCAGTGAACCTGAGCTTCAGCTGCAGGTCTGATGCATTAGTATAAGACAAACCACATCTGTTCTTCAGATAAATTTTTGTGAATCTGAGCAAGATATTGAGGGAAAGGCATGTATCCCCTTCTGTTGGCTTTGGACACTCTTTTTGGTGGTAAATTAACAGGTATAGAAGGGTTTGGTTACTGTCTCAGGAGAAGTTAAAAACGCAGAGTTGGGGATACCTAGTTCCTGTGTCTGGAGCAAGAGCTCTCTTGGTATACTGAGCTACATTTTGGAGTAATTGTTAATTGTGTGGAGATTGTGTTTCTGCATAACTGTGTGCTATTTGGACTTGTCAGCCCAGGTTTAATGTCAAGTTGGATTGCTAATCTGTGTTTATCTATGGTTGGCCTTACCTGCTGCTGTAGCTGAGCACAGTTCTGTGCTATGTTTCCACTACGCACTACTGTCCTTGCATTCAGACATGAATCCTTCTTCCATCTCTGTTCAGTTGTTGAATAAAGGAGTTATATCCTTTTTTAATCCTTCTGTGCCTGAAATATGTAACTTGAAGCTCAGAAAGTGTGCGTTCCAGCACATAATGCTTTATTCCTTCCTAGTTTATTGGTGGTTAGTGAAGCATAATTCATTTCTGAAGAGCTTTGGGACCATGGAATTATGTAGAAAATGTAAATATTTTGTTTGGGACTGTTAACAGATTTTATGTCTTATTTCAGCATCTTGAGGACCTGAAAATGAGCAAAGATATCGCTAAGAACTGATTTTCTTAAATTATGTAAATTAATTATGCAATTGAATAAAATCTGTATAAGAGAAATGTAGATATGAGTTCCAGAAAAAAATCTGGGTCTAGAATTTCAGATTGAGGTATTCTGGTTTTAGAGAAGTTGATGCAATTACTATTGAATATGTAGTATTAGGAGGGTGGGGGGAGGATATATTCACAAATAACGTGCTCTGTAGAAACTGCAGCTTAACAAAAACCTGAGTGCTATTTTTTCAGTCAAAAATAGTGTTAAAAAGTTTGTTTTAATATTCTGATGGGGAAATCCTGTTTTCTAGTTTGATTTTCAGGTGTTTTATTATTGAGTGAGTAGAAAACTGCTCATGACCTTCAGCTGCACTGACTCAAAAACTAGTGTTTGGGTTCTCTGGTGAATATATTGTACCAAAAGCATTAAGCTGGCTCATATGTATATAGATATATATATGGATAAAACAAGTCTATTTTTACAATGTTGGCAACAGAGGAAGAATTGATATAAGACTTCTGGTTTGCACAGGAATCTCATCCCTAGCAGAAGTGTGGCTGCCACAATGGACAGGGAATGAAGAAGGCCAGTAGACATGCCCCCTTTCCTGCTTGGATCTAAATTGCATCTCTCCCTTAAATTCATCTGTCAGGTGCATAATGATGAGAAGGAGGATGGAACTGATCATTGTGTTAAGTGATAGAAACTTCAGTAGCGTCTACTTGACCATGTTTGAGGGAGTTTAGAATTTGGATAGCTTTATCTATTAATAAGGATATGTCTGGCTGCCAGTAAAGCCATTTTTGTTCTATCAAAGTGCCTTTATCAAGGAACAAATCTGGGTAAAAGTGTATTTTGAGGCCACTTGTGAAACTTGAGAATATATTTCAGAAACACAGCTGTGACTATTTGCTGATTCTGCAAGGCAAGGTGCACAACCTGTTCCCAAGGGAATGAATGTGTGAGAGCAAAACTGTACCCGTTGCTGATATTGAATACTTATCTGCAGTTCCAGTTAGATATGTGGAAGGATTTACTGTCTGAAATTGTTTCCTTCCCCCTTGCTTTTTCTCCCTACCTTTTTTCCCCCAACTACAAAAGATATATTTTCAAAAACTATTTGCTTAGCAAACTCAGAGGCTTTTCTAATTAGGATTTGGATAAGAAAGGCACAGTGCCTTGACCATTATGTGTAAGAAAAGCAGGTGCCAAGTTACCAGATGCTTTGAAAGAAGAGAGAGGACAAATCTGAAGACTGCTGACAGAGGAAAACTGATGTCCAGGATAATAGTGAACTATCTTAGATTTCTGACCATTTTATGTACCTTAAGGCAACTGCCAAGCTGGCACATCTCAAAGAAGAGTGTGCCAAGGGGCCAGATGCTAGTGTTGCAAAAGCATTCCCAAAGTTGGCATCCTTTGATCTGTGGAAGTAGTCCTTCAGGAAATATCGGGAGGACAGTGTAGGGAGATGGGTGAGTGGGGCATCGATATTGCCCTAAAATCCTCTTAAACGAATAATACAATTTGATTATCCCAACAGGTACAAGAGATTTAACACAGTAAGTTACACAACAGCACAGGAGTTCTTTTGCACATTCCTGGTGTATACTGTACTTTCAGGAAGGGCTGTGCTTCCAGCTGCTCCAGTTGTGGTGTCTCACAGTAAGATGGCAAGAGCAGTAGTTAAAGAACCAAAATATACCAAAAAATCCAAGAGATGAGCAGCTAAATTGTAATCAGTGCTTGCTTTCCATTAGATGTGCCTTTTTATTGAATGTCTTGAAATTGATATCAATAAGAGCTGGGGTTTTTT